AAAAAAAAAAAAACAGAAAGAGGAACCAACAAAAAATAAAAAAGAGAGACAGAAATTTTCCATTAAATAATACCGAAAAGTAGCTATTAGCTAATCAAAAAAAAAAAAAAAAGAAATAAAAATGCAGACAGAGGCAGACAGAGAGTCGGAGAGCCAGACAGGAACACTTGCCTGGCCAAAGATACACATTCATATATATATGTATGTATATAGATATGTGTGTTGTCTGTGTGAACGAAACGGAGGGCCAAGAAAACACGTTAAGGTGTCTTAATAAGATCAAACATGGCGATTATGAGGAATTACTTGAAGATAATGACATCTGGTTATACCATAAATGCACGAGCATTCAAATGCCAATGCCAATCATTGAGCTTGTGCAGTTTATGTGAAAGGGCAAAGCCAAGTTAGGTAATCCCGTCAGTCAGGCACTTGGTATAGAAACCTGATCAATTTTAATTGATTATAGGACTTTGAGGTTAGGTTTTGTGTTGCAAAACGTTTTGCAACACAGCAATAAAAACAAAAAAAAAAAACAAAAAAAACGAAGCTTCATTTATGCTTCAATTAAACTCGTCCCGGCTGCCTCGACTGTGATCTCTTGCCCGACTGAGTTAATTAGTCCGGAATGCGTTTTGCACCCACGATTTTCCTGGGAAGCTGTAGATGGATTTTGATTGCTTGTGGCGGAAGTGCTGTGACTCTTAAAAAATTATAATAAATACAAATTGGAATTTGAGAGACAACCATAACAAAAAAAGAAAAAGAACAAGAAAAACAACGCAATATGCGAGACATGATTTAGTTATAAAAATAGATGGCATCATTTGCCTCGACTTTTTCAATAGAATTCTATCTGTAGGAACTTAATGTCCCAATGATAAGCGCTACACACATATGATGCGATTGCTGATTAGCCGTTAGCTACAAGTGCACAAACATAAAACGTGACCCCACAGACCCAAAGCATGGCCAAGTCACATGCCGGCGATCGTATTGTCGTTTAGAGCTGCGATACACTGGACGTAGCCAATCTGATCACAACTAAATTTAGAATGTAAACAAATTGAAGTTCCAAAACATATAGCCAGCTGTTCAAGGTGAAATCTACGAACAACTTTAAGCTGATATCTAGAAAAATAGTAACTAAAATTCACTATGCTATATCAAATATATTTAACTTGGTTAAAAACTGCTTAAGACAGCAATAGATCTTAGCTAGTCTCATTAATATACATCGTTAATATCATTATCGCTAATACTATTTACTATTTATTTTTATTGCTCAGATTTTAGTGAGATTCATCCACGAAGTATGCTAAGTCACAGTTTCTATATAAACACAGATGTCTAGCATGTAATTTAGGTAGATGGTATACACCTCATATCTGACAGATTTGATATAGACAGATCAGATATGGATAATTCAGATACATATCAAGATAGAATATGACTAAAATAATAGATCTGATATAGGCAGGCCTAAACATAAACAGCCTGGATGTACCTAATATCAGATATATGGGATCAAATATATATAAAATGTGATATAGGTAAGTCTCATTTGGATATAGACCTGATAGATAGGTAGGTCGAATATAAATGAATCTGGAACACAAGAACTAGTATATCTAGATTTGCCATAGATAGACTCCATATGGATATATCTAATATACCAAAGATGTGATATAAGAAGATCTCTAATACCTAAGATCTAATATATACAGACATGCAGGTACCTAAGATAACATTTAGATACTCTTCATATATTTCCTTATCAGAAATTCGGATTTTCAAGATGAATGACAAAAACCAAAGCAAAAGCCAATTGGCAAGGCTTAAAGTAAATTCAATTGAGCCGCTACTCATTCAATTGCTCTACAATCCCAACCACTCATTCCCACAATCATGATTACAATCATAATCATATCCTAAAAACGCTGAATGCCAGCGAATGGCTCAAGGAACACGCTCCAAGCAGGCAGCCCGATGATATGAAGACATAAATTTACTTCAAATAAATGCCCATATATTTGGGTATATGTATGGCTGTCCGATCTATACATAATTGCTTTGACAGCAGAGACAACAGGCAGCAGAAAAGGAGCGATTAACATTTTAGCGTGAAACCGAAGACAGCAGCAGCAGCAGCAACAATTTGTTTGCTCTTTACGATTATTGCCTTTCTCACACCTTATTACCAAGAAAATAAAGAAGCAACAACAACAGCACAGAGGCGACAATGAAATGTGAAAATAAAAAAAAAAAGTCAGTCAGTCAGTGAGAACAAGAAGCAGACTAGACCAAAGAGACGAAGAGACGGAGAGGCTGAGGGACGGCGAGACGGCCGGACTGGATGTCAAGACAAGTTCAGCTTGGGTTTTTGGACCTGGTCAGCGGCAAACGGAAGAGCTGTGGAAATCGCACGCACACACAAACAAACACTCACACGCACGCACACACATACTGATATACATATATATGTCTCTTTAGGGAAAAAAGGGCGACTAACCGGGCACTCGAACTCGAGCAGTTTGTTAAGAGGGGCACAAACAGAGGCGATCATAAACAATCTATACACAATATAAATGACAACAAAAACAAGAAATCACACACACACACACACACACACACACACACTTGACGTTGTGTAAGAAGAGGCAGCAGAAATTGTTGCCAAAAGGAGTCGACAGACGCTAACTGAATATGAAGCAAGCGAGAACAATGGCCAAAAGGCTGGCGCAGCTCGAGGCCAAGCGAGGCGAGAGGAGGCGAGGCGAGGCATGGCAAGGCTCAATTCACTTGGCTACCGATTAAAACGATGCTAACAACAACACGAAAGAAGAAGCAGCCGCAACACAACTGACCAACACTTGCAGTCGTGTTTGCTTAATGAAACACAGCAACAACACTTGAAGAAGAAGAAGAAGAAGAAGAGGCAGATGCAGAAGCAGAAGCAGAAGAAGAGAGAAAAAACACCTTCAGCAAATACTCGCCAATAGGCAGCGAAACAGGCAGCCAGCCAGAAAAGCCACAGATCGGGTATATACGACCATATGATGATCTACCTAATTCCAGTTGGGCGATTGATTTAGCTCAGTATTTAATATAACAAATACATATATTTTTGTAGGGCAGTATAACAGTTGAACTGTATAACAGCAGAAGACTATGGCTATATAGCAGCAGATCTGTATATCAGTATAATAGCTGTGCAGAAGCTGAACTGTATAACAGTATGACTGTAGCAATAAAACTATATACAAACATGTAACAAAATAGTATAAAATTATTACAATTTAACTGTTTAACAGTAAAATAGCATAACAGTATACCATAATAATAAAAAGCTGTATATCCGTATGATAGTACACAAGTATAACATTCAAACTGTATATTATAAAACGATAAAAATATAAACGTATAACAATACAATAATATACCAATATAACAGTCGTAATGTATAACAGAAGAACATAATAGTAATATATCAGAAGAGCTATATAATAGTATAACAGTAATAGCTCAGTACTAGTATAACAGTATAACTCAGTAGTTTAGCAGTAAAGCTGTATATTAGAATATAATCGTAAGTATAATCGTATGTATAACAGCATAATAGTATAACAGTACAACAGTTTAAATTATATCAGTGGATCGGTAAAAACAAAGTAAATCATATTTAGCAGTATAATTTAAGAGTAATATCTGCATTGATGCCAAAGAATTGCCCACTTAGTAGGCTTATGATAAGCTGAGAAGAAAGGAGGACAAAGTTCAAAGGTGTTGAACTTCAACATCAAGTTCAACTCCAAGTTCAACTTCAAGTTCAAGTTCGAAATTTGCGAAAGGGGAAAGCCTTGCTCATGAGCTTTAAGCAGCAGACTCGGCTTCAACCGTTAAGTGAAGATCCATAATGTTCCAGACGATTCCCGTATTTATGTACCTATATATATACATATATAGTCTTAATGTACATTTTGAATGATCTTGGCCATGTGCCCAATGATCAGCCAGTGCGAAGAAGATAGAGGTTAACACACACACATACATGCACATGCGCACATGCACACAGCTAGCAACAGCAAAGACTGTCTTCAAGTGGGCTCAAGTACCGCTGTCAACGTCTGCGTCGCCGTCGCCGTCGACGTCAGCATCGCTGCCAGCGTCCAGCGAGACAAGCAGGCTGGCCAAAACACAGCGACAGACGCAGCGGGACGTGTTCGGCTGCAGAGGGTGCTGTGCCACAGCGAGAAAGAGATGCAGCTAGAGAGCAGGAGGAGGAGGCGGGCGGGGTCGGGCTTCGAGGGAGTTGGTAGTGGGACACGTTGTTCAATCGCAGCAACAGCAACAGCAGCAGAAGCTACTTCACAGAAACAGAACTCTGATTTCTGTTTTTTTTTTGCGCTTGTGTGCAGCAACTTTGTGTGTGTGTGTGTGTGTGTGAGTGCTGTATAGCATCTTGATCGAGGAGTTTTGCACACCAATCCATTTGTTTGCTGTGCTTGCTGGCAGACAAGTGGCCCGGCCGGCCGGCTGACTGGATGGCTGGCTGGCTGGCTGGCTGGCTGGCTATCTGGCTGGTTGGCTGGTTGGCCTACCAACAAGCCGAGGTGTCAGCGCAGCGCAGCAGCGGCACCGGTTGTTAGCCACTGAAGTGCTGCTCGAGTGTGAGGCGGAGGCGGGTTTACGGGGCGGCGGGTCAATCAAGGGGTGTCTGTGTGGACAATGACTTTCACGCTTTTCAAGCGCGCCAAAACGCAAACACAGCGAGCAAAGCAAGTTAATGCATACACAAAAAAAAAAAAAAAATAAATAAATACATGTACATAAATACATACATACATACGTATATGAATATGTACAACAAGTACAGGCAACCAACAAACGGCTATGATACACTGCATCCGGCTCCATACAAAAATACACAATTTAAAATGAATACACTGAACGCCAAAAAAAAATAAATTATATTTTAGCCAAATAAATAAATGAGACATATATTAGGCTATTTCATTTACATTAAATGGTATTTAAAAAAAAAATCTCTTTATTGCAAACTTATAATACAACTTGGCCTAGCACTAATTTTGCTCAGTGTACAAAATATGCAGGTACTTATGCTTTGAGGATCACGTAGTTCACAAGCTCAGCTGATTATTGAAGCTGAGCTTCAAAGCTTCAATGCTCCTTCTCACTCACTCACACACGCACACATGCAGCAGTAACAGTTCAGGGTCACTAGCATCAACAACAACACGCAAAAAGGGTTCGAATCGAGACATTACGTAATTTATTGACAATTCGCCTGTTAGCCGGCATCGCCATTTGTCGCCAGGAAGCTTGCAACATGCAACCTGCAACATGCAACATGCCTCATCAACATAATCATAAACATAAACAGCATCGTAAATGTTATCATCATCCCTGAGCGTTCGTTAAAGGCAATCAAGTAAATTGAAGGCATATTAATTGAACGATCATTGGGCAACGATTGAAATCGATTCAGATTTAACCGTTGCAAGCGGCGGGCAACAGTGTTGCGGGCTATTTGTTGTTGTTGTTGTTGTTGTTGTTGCGGCGCGCTCTTTTTCTTGCCATTTTTGGCGCTAATAAATTATTGCTTAAATTTCACACACTTTACTCATTTTGCATTTATATTCATTTTATTTTAAGCAATTTTATGTTATTTAAAAATTATTAAATAAATCACACACACGCACGCGCATACAATATTAGTATAAACATTTCATATTTATTTACATTGGCTTAATTCATTAAAGTAACTGCAACAACAACCAAAAAAAATAAAACGTGAAGATTCTTTCTCAATTTTTGCAAAATTCGTTAGCAGAGAGGACTACGCGAGTAGTACCGTTCGAAACCGTTGACGAGTATTAACTTTTTGTTGGTGTACTGCTGCGCAGTGTGACCGATGTCCACGAACGATCAAAAACGGCAAAATACTAAATGCAAGCAGTGATCCAGTGAGTGCACCTGTTGAATACCAACTTTACTGTTAATTAGCAGAACACTGTGAGCTCCACAGCAAATTCAATTAACTTCCATGTTAACTTAACGGGTTTTCTGTTAAGGCACTAACCATATAACAAAAACGGTTAGGATCCTAACTTAATGTAATGATTATGAAAACACTTGATTAAAGGAAAAATACATTTATTTTGTAGCTATTTCTTTTTTTTATGTTTTTCTTACATATAAATGTATAACATTTAGTTACAAATACATTTACAATTAAAAATTGCTCTACTTTGGGAAAAACGAAAGTACAATTACATGACAATATATATATATATTACTAATCAGTTAAGTTAAACATATATATATG